GCTGGGACCAACTAGACTTGACTTACCTTGGAAGCTACAACTTTTCCAGATGTGGTACAAGCAGATCTGATCGTTCTCCTCTTGGCTGGCAGCATTTGGGGACCCAGGACCTGAACTGTTTCTTCTTTCTACAAAGAAACACCACAAGGATGTATCCAATTCCACGAAAGCTCCTGATAAGGGGCCAGAGTAGTTCCAGGTGCAAAGGAGAGAAGAGGATTCACTCATCTTCCTGCGTGAGTCAAGGGTGGGTGAGGCAACCTCATACAACCCGACAATGGTAGGGATGATGTGCCCTCAGACACACAGGGGCCTCTACCTTTTAGGCCATATGGCTGCTTGCCAATCCCAGAGCACAATGCCATCCAGAGGGGTTCTTTTCTCAACCTGACCTCCGCCAGAACCATGAGGAAACCTGGTAAAATACAAGTGTCCAGGTCTCCCCGCCCCGCCCAGACTGACTGAATCAGAACCTCCAGAGGTGAGCCTGGGACACTTCTTCAGAGAAGGAGAACCACTATCCCACATGGTGGGCAGCTTAAGATGCCATCATATCTAAGGTTGTGATGACCCCAGGGGGCTACTTTTTATAAACTAGATTTAGGATTTTTTTTAAATAAGTACTTGTTAACGTGCTTGGCTGTTAACATTTAAAAGGTCAGGGATTCCAGTCTACCCAGAGGTGCCTTGGAAGAAAGGCTGGAGATCTACTCTTGAAAAACCAGCCATTGAAAACACTGTGGAGCACAGTTCTCCTCTGACACGTACAGGGTTGTCATGAGTCAGAGCCAACTCCACAGCAACTGGGTTTTTTAAATGAACTATTAGAATTGGGTGCTAACATCAAAGAAAAGGTGCTAAAAAAGGTACTAAAAGGTTGTTACAAGAATCTTGGAAGGAGCCCCAGTGGTACAGTGCTTAAGTGCTTGGCTGCTAACCGAAAGGTCTTCGGCTGGTTTGAACCCACCAGCCACTCCACAGGAGCAAGATGTGGCAGTCTACTCTCGTAAAGATTTTAAAAAAATACCAAACTCGCTGCCGTTGAGTCAATTCCATCTCATAGCAACCCTACAGGACAGAGGAGAACTGCCCCGTAGGGCTTCCGAGGCTGTAAATCTTCACGGAAGCAGACTGCCACATCTTTCTCCCACGGAGCTGCTGGCAGGTTCGAACCGCTGACCTTTTTGTTAGTAGATGAGCACTTAACCACTGTGCCACCAGGATTCCTGGTGGATTACAGCTAGGAAACCCTATGGGGCAGTTCTACTCTGTCCCTTCGGGTCGCTATAGCTGGAATGGACTCAATGGCAGTAGGTTTGTTTTTTTTTGTTGCTGTTCATAAGCATCTTAACGTAAAAAGGGAACGCGAGTACTTCCAGCCTTTGCCTTGGCTGTGCAGCTCCAACGAGCCTGGATCTAGTCCTTGCATCTGCTCCCACCCACCTCCCTGAACAAGCAAACTCCTCAGCAGCCCTCCCCCTTAGCACCACCTGTCATTCTGCTCCTCACCTTCCCTTTTCCTTTTATGGCCCCTCAGATACTCCACAGGCTGGGCCTCAACACCCCTGCCTAGGGGACCGTCAAGGTCAGGTCCTCCCTCCCCAGGGGCAGGTAACTGCTCTTGAGACCTGACTTCACTCAGCAGCGGGCCCTTCCCTCCCTCTAACAAGGCCGAATCCAACTGACACCATTAAAAGACCCATTTACAGCAAACCCTCTCTGCGTCTGGGCTTCCTACAGTCGAAAGAAATTTACAACAAAATGTAACTGAAGAAAACGTAAAGAAAAAAACTCACACGACCAGGGAAACCTTTAAATGTAGAAGTCAGACGATAAAATTGGGGGATAAGTTTGCTGGCTGGCAGTCCTGGCACTCAGCTGACAGAGATCTCAGGCAGCGGTCTACAAAACCCTGGCGATCACCACGAGGGGTCTGCCTGTGAGCTTCAGGGAGGAACCGCGGCTAACTGAGGCATCACCAGGCCCTGTGTGGTGCCTGGCATGAGGCAAGCCCTCGAATTTCTGAAAGAAAGCCTGGATAGCCAGGATGGTCAGCCAACCGCCTCAACTGTGAAATCCGGACACCCGTGTGTCATAAGCCCCTGAGGAACCACGGTATTCACCTCCATGCCACGGGTGTTTAGGAAAT